AATCCCTCTGCCAACTTCAGCCCTTAAAATGCCTCATTTCAAATCCGTCCATGCCTTTTCCCTTCAGGGAGGGACCTAGGCTGTTGGGGATAACAGCGGAATCCTTGCCCCACTGGCTGTTTATGGGAGAAAAAATTTTTCCCTCTGACAATCTTTCGTTTTCAGTGTCCAACCTCCTTTTTACTCCCAGGCACTCCAGGTTACAGTTAGGTCAGGCAGATCCCACTCTTCAGTCACACTGCTGCTAATTTGTAATTAGTCCAAAATAAAGAGATCTCATTTTAGTCATTAATGACTGTAGTGAAAGCAGTCTAGATTTCTTGATCCATACAACATTAAGAGAAAATCCAGCCAAATGCCTGCCTACTTTAATTTATGCTTTAGACCAAGTGACAGAGTTTCAGAAAGAACAGGCTTTAAGTTAAGCAATCTTTCATTGAAGCAAGAGATAAGCGTTACAGGCTGTTCCAAAGAGACAACTTTATTATAAGATAACCATTGCTTTGCAAAGACCTAGTCCTTAATATAGGGATTTGGGTGGAGGGGTAGGGGGGAACAACAGAGACATGGAAGAGGACAAGAATGACAACAGGAAGAAAGTTTAAAAAATGTAAAGGAGAAAATACATCCAAAGCTGAATGTTAAGAAAAGGTGGGAAAATACCTACAAAGCTGCAGCTAGTTTTACAAATTCCATAATGTTTAAGTATATTTTCATTTCACGACTGGATTCACACTGCTTACACTGCTTAGGGATAAGAACTTTTTTGCTTGAATTCTAGCACTCGCTAAAATGACATCTCCACTAGAAAGTGCTGTTGATAGCATTTGTCCTGGCATACAGTTGCCAGTACATCAATAAAAATGTGCACACAGCACACTGATGGGGAGGACTTCCTAAAGCAGGATGTTGTATCAGCAGAAGATGTATGGATAAATGCAGTTATGCATATTCTCACAGCATTTTTATCGCTCTACGGGAAACTAACAGCCCCTTTAAAAAAAGAGAGGCACTTTAAGGCAACGTTCCCAGTGCTCCATCACATCATTTCCATATTGCATAGATTACATTCCTGGTTCTTCTGTTGCACTTCCATAATCTGTTCTTCCACATGGCAATTTTGCTTTGTCAGTTCAATTTTTGACATCCGAGTGCTGAGGATCTTGGATGGTGAAATGAGCATCAAGTGACTGAACGGCAATGCAAATCTGGAACAATCGATGACAACTGCATAACTTTCAGGTGCAGAAAAATAAGTTCCAGTAACTGTAAGTTAAATTCACCATATTTCAAAGACACCTGAGCTCCACAAGCTGCTTTGTGCATGGAAAAATGGATAATCATCATGTTCCACTTGTAATCCCCTGCTGCAATCAGTCAGCAGAAAGTGATAAGGGATCTGGAAAGCCTAGAATGAAAGCTGTCACTACCTGGGCATGCAAGGTCTTCAACACATACCTTGTTGCACAGGCTGCTGAGACTGAGCAATGCTTGACAAAAATAAAAGCACATGAAAGGATGATCATCCACATCAGAGTGGCATTACAGCAATGATATGTATCATGTTTTTAATCCTGCTATTTTGCTTTACTATGTTACCTCTGATTATCAAAACTGGAACTGCTATTCTTCCCTAGTTACACAAATCCTGATGGACCTCTGGAAGGGGAGACGCATGATAACTTGCACCATGAACTTTATGACAAGGTCAATGCAGGGTCATTTTTCCCTGATCAATCTATTCCATTGGCAAGACTGAATTGCCAGATGTGCTCCTCAAGAATCCCCATCTTTAAATTTAGACTACATACTTGGAGACCACCACAGGAAGATTTAATTGCCTCTCAAAACAACATAGACCAGTATGAGGGAACACACGAAAGACTACCAACAATGCAGATATTACAGGACCACACATTTCCATATTACAGTATGCTGTATTTCATCTGATACTTGCAACAGTATTAAATAAAAAAAAGTATTACTAGCAGGTCAGAGACTAAGGAGTATAGGGATATTATTTGCTGATTTGGAGAAGTCTGTTACAAGAGCAACTTTGAGAGCACAATCAGATGCGACACGACTGAAAGAAGCTTTTAAAAAGGTGCACTTGAATATTATGCCGTAGTTATAATAGTGCTTTATGCTTTTGTGAACAACCAGGACTTGCCTTGTAAATTCATTTTAGTTACTTTTTAATTAGAGGTCAGAGAGCTACCGAGTAATACAGGGAAAAGGATGGACGGTCCCTATTTGTTTTAGAAGTTTAAGTATGTGGTGACTTTCACCAAGGAAAGCTTAATATATGTGGCAGTAAAGAGAAAAGAGGCTGTCTTGTTTTGGTAGGTAAAGGCAAGATACAGTTGTTAAGACAAGCTACACACAGATGCAGAATACTTCATATTTCCACAGCAACTGAGTATAAAATCAGCACAGGCATGCACTTGGGCAACCAGAATTGGAGACTATAGTTCCATCCTGGGATGAATTATCTATGAAGAACAGAACAGTGACTGATAGAATGTAAGTCTGAAAGTTTTATTCCATACATATTACTTTCTAATCTGAATTTGTTGCCCAAGAACTGTAATGCTGATTTAATACTTCTGTGTTTTAGCCTATCCTCACTTTGATACTGATGTGTTTTAGTCTATCCTTATAGATCCATTTCACATGTATCTGCTTGTGACCACCGCAGTAAGAGTTTCTGCTTTCCCTCACTTCTTTTTCCTGCAGATAAAGGTTGGCCTTTCCACAGGTATGTGGATGGTGTGGCTTCAAGACTTCATATAAACAGCCATTCCCAATTAGATGTCTAAACTTAGCACACAAGAAATGGTAAGGAGCAAAGGCTGAAGTTTTCCTGTGAAGATCACCAGAGCAAAGTAGAGACCTTCTTTGTTTCACTGGTGTCAACAGCTTCACATATCACAAGTGCTTTACAGAGAATATCCAAGAACAGCATTCCATAGTTGAGACCATTGGGATGGGATTTGTCTGGGTCCTCAGCAGATGACATGACAATTTAAACATTGTTAAATTATTATGAGCAGCAGTGATCCAAGCAGATATATTATTCATAACAAAGTCAAAAGCCCAAGGAAAAAGACCACATATGATTACTTGTTTCAGGCCTCTTTGCAGAGATTGCATGATAAAAGAACTGTGCCAGCCAAGACATCCTACAAACTGGTAGAGAGCCAGACTACAGAACAACCAGATTCATGCTTAAAGACAGACACTGCAAGTTCAAGTCATTATTTTATATTTAGACCATGAGATGGACTTACCAGAAGACCATTTATGTCACACTTATGCTCAGTTGATAGATTCTTTGTATAAGTTCAGATAGGCTGAATGCAAGTTACTGGGTGCTATGAAAAGATCCTTTGCCATCTTTGGACACACTCAGGTGCTACTCAAAACACAACATACATTCAAGTCTTCCTGAACTTGGCCACTGTACTAACACTACAAAACTACAATAGTAACAGCCATCTATCCTCAGTCAGAGCCTGGGCTTGTAGAAAAGTCAGTGCTCAGTAACCTACAATGAATTTAGAATGCATAACTAATATTGCTTCCTAAATCTAGGTCATTACAAAGAATGAACTGAAGGCCAGTCAGATGATCACTGAAATCAGCAGCAGTGGAAAGGACAGAAAGAGAGGGAAGGAGGAAGAAGGGGAAGAGACAGAAAGGGAGGTTAAGCTCCCACAGGTGGAACGAATGAAAAAAGGAGGCACATGAGTAATTGCAGTGATAGCCTCTGAACACACAACTTAGAATAGTTCAGGCATTGCCTTAAGCCTGATTACGTTGGTTCAACTTAATCTATAAATTGACACAAGCAAGTTAAGCAGCTGTAGGCCCACCTAATTTGGTTCAACTTGATACCACCACATCAATTTAACTAAAGCAACATCAACAGCAGGTTTAGAATCACGCCCCATTAAATTTGGCCAAGCAGCACTTACTACCTGGAACCATGTTCCATCACCAGTGTTAAAAAAAACCAAACATACCACTTACTGACAACAGATTAAAATGCCCTGGAGCAAAGACCAAAGCTCAGACCCCCCTTCTCCAGACACATGCCCTGTTTGAGAATCATGCTTATATGACAGAATGCTACATAAGTGAAATTAAGCAAGGAGTAGATTATGTCCTACAACCAGCCTCACATGGCCTAGGTAGCGCTACATATAGGTGGATGCTCTCATTGTCAGATTATCTGTATTACAGAAGCAGAAGCTGCTACCTGTAATGGAGCAATCCCTACTATGAGTCTGACAAGACCCAGTTCCCAAAGACATTTCAAGGGTGCGAATCCCAAGCAGAATCAGATATTTATACTATGTTCCTCCCAATTGGAGGACAAATGCTTATGTCCTCACCTTTCATGTCTGCCAGCTTAGGTAGTTCTCCAGCTCACGCTGATTACCTTTCTAAGGCATTGTCTGTTCCTTTAAAACAAGTAGCAAGTGTAGTTACTTAATTCAGGGATGACAATCTTGCTTCCAGGAGTAAGTATTACAGTGTTTAATATCATAATATTTTTGTGCTTCCACTTGTGAATCTAGCTATAGATACTAGGCCATGAATAAATTAAGAGTGTCAAACAATGCCAAAAGACAAATACCTCGGATAATTAATCCCCTGGTAAACATTTACATCCAATTTAGTGTTGAAAAGAATATACATCTACCCAGTACAAACCAAACCTATGCTGCAGCCAAGTGCCACTTCCAAGCCTGCAAGAAGTCTGCCAAACAAGGCAGGACACTTGTTCCATGAAAACCAAATTAAATACAAAGAAGATACTGTAATACCATTCAGCTCTCAAATACTTGACAAGCTAGGTTTTAAAAAGGTACAGACCGGACTTTCCATAGTTAAGATAGAAACCAAAGATTAGTGTTTGTGTTTAAGTATATTGTTTATTTATAGTTAAACTTTAACATCTGAACAGAAATCTGCAAGCATGCAGGGATGATCTTTCAGTGATGTTTCTGTTTAAACTGAAGTCCACAGTAGCCGCACGTTCCGGTCTTTGTATCTTTGTCCTGCAAAAATACAACAGCTGCTAGTTTCACTTTACAAAACTTTTAGAAATTCCAAGTTTTCTCTTATTTACACATGCCATCTTAAAATGGATCAATATAGCTGAGGTACAGAGTTTAATCTTACTTGAAACACTGGAAGTAAGATCATTTCATAATTATTTTAATATAGAATAGAATTTGGCATTTCCAAGTTATATCTAGACAGGAATTTTGGCCAGTAATGCAAGGTGACAGAGTAAATTGCAGGAAGGAGCAAATTTCAGCAGG